AAGCAGACTTTTAAAGTAAATGCAAATGATACTTCTTTGCCAAGAGGCAGTGTGTAAATAATTTAGAAAACAATATGGTTACACAACTCGTTTAGGGTTTGTTTGTTTGTTTTGAATTTCGCGCAAAGCTACACGAGGGCTATCTGCGCTAGCCGTCCCTAATTTAGCAGTGTAAGACTAGAGGGAAGGCAGCTAGTCATCACCACCCACCGCCAACTCTTGGGCTACTCTTAGGAATTTCAAGAGAGATTGTTGGAAACGTTATGATGTTAAGCTTGAAGAAAATTTCTATTCGTATCTCCAGAAAATATATATTGGGGGACACTATATTCTCAAATCTTGTGAGTTATGGGGCACTCTGTTTAAGTTGATCAATGTTTTCAAAGATGGATGTGGGGAGCATATGCTTTCGGTTAGTTACAAACTTATGGAATGGTCTGTGTTATCTGGTTTGTGCTATTAGTTTGGTTATTTTATAATATCATTAGATATGAAGGATTACATTTAAACTGAATTTAAAAAAGTTATTTGCTCTGTGTTTGGATGATTGTTCACTTCGGCGGGCTGAATGGCCGTCTGTTACCTTGCTTTTTATTCTTTTATTTATACAATATAAACTACATATAGCAAATAATCATGGTTTTTCAAGGTTGTCCTTGTACACACACACTTGGGTAAAGTAAAAATTTAAATCTTCCCTGTTCTTTTCAGAAAATCATCAATTCTACTCTTAAACTCCAGGAAATTTAAATGCTGGTCTCCACTAGTGATGACAGGATTTCTTCCGTAAGTAGGGTTATCAAACATCCCAGTAAAACTGAACTTGTCCCAGTTTTTAGCTCCTTTTTTTGTTCCAATCAGAAACAGTAGAAGCATTAAATTGTCCCAGTTTTTTCTCCTTCGGTGCGAATTTGATATGTACTGTTTGTCATTATATACGGTGCTTTTAAATTTTACTTGGTGGAGTACTTGACAAAGACAGATCATATATTTTCTTAATGTAACCTGTCAATGGGCAACAATAAAATTAAGATTTTAAGACCTGCCCAGCTGCAAAAAAAGAAACTAAGAAGCAAAATTTTTCCTTTAAGAACATTAAAGACATATCTACGTATCTACATGAGCCGATGTTTCAATTTATGAACGTTATATTTTAAGATCTGTGCAAGAACTCAGCTAACAGATGTTTCCGTATATCAAAGCTATCTTCAAGTTTTGTACAACGAAAAACCTTTTCCACTATTGAGTTAGTTTCCATCTATATAAAATATGATTCAAATTACGAAACTCAAATGCATTACCTTCATTTACTATAATTAAAGGTAATTTCTCAAATGTTTGTCCAACTTACCAATTGAATGAAGTTATTTTGTAATATTTCAACATATTTAATATAGCTAGAAATACCCAAACATTTATGAAATCAGTAAACTTTATAGATCTAAAAGAGTAACATGTATGCATGGTGGGAAGCTTTTTAAACTTCATTAAACTATGCAATAATGAAATTTAGAGTAGTGAAGTACAGACAACGTCACCATATGCGTAAGGGAGAGGTGGGTGTAGATAGTATTATGCATTGCAAAAAGAAAGTTATTTGGGGAATAGATCTATCATCCCTCAGAGCCCCATCCCAGATAGAAGTTTTGTGTATGAATTTTTTCATTTGCTTAAAGTCACTTAGAGTCCCAGTACCGTCACCCTGTTAAGTTTTAATACTTGCTCCCAATACCCAGGTTTTGAATGCGTCGTTATATTTGGTGTATATTACTAGATAAGACGATCGGTTTGCTATTTTTGATTAGGACATTCGGCTCAAAGTTCCTTTTATACGAGAGGTGTTTGGTGAGTATCATGTGTTGTGAAATAGGTTTAACCTCGTAGTCATTGAGACACCCCGCAAGGTCATCAGATTCGTTCAGGACTTTGCGTGTCTAACTTCATACATCAATAGTCACTTAACTGTTTTGATTACTTTAAATACGCAGCAGTCTTTGCAATTTATAACTTGTGTACATTCAAATACAAAATACTATAACCAAAAAAAAAAAAATGTTTTGTACGCGAAGCACGAGTTTTTCCCCTAGTTTATTAATTATGCTCCTAGCAATATCATTAATTTAAATAAAAAACAGCAAATGGCCAAAAACTGACCCGAATTCCTCCAATAATACAAAAGGTCCAATGTTTGTGACTGGACTTCATTAACCCTTTCTGGACTGGAGGTGAGGGGGTATAACTGATATTCCTTTATTTTGTTTTATTTTTTGCTTTCTCAAAATGTAAATATTTAACCAAGCTCATAAATCTTGACACAAACTTTAGTAAATAGTATTTAGTTTTGGTTTAAATAGATTAATATAATTTGATAGTTTGTCTGTCATTTTCAAAATTTTGTTTTTTGAGACACGTTTTTTGAAAAACACACAAATAATTTGTCTTAGAATTTACTTTTTTTATTATTGATCAGGAAATTTCATTTAATATATATCCAGTAAGTTTGAAATTGATTGATTTTTTAACATTTTTAAACTATATTTTGCTTATTGTGATAGTAACCACTCGCAGCTATAAATCGTAAAAAAAGCATAAACTGAAATAAAATTATGGTGACCTAGGATATGATCTGTTAAAATGGTGTCAGGTCAAGCTAAGTAATAGTGTTTTTGTTAACAATATTCTTGGTCAAAATAAATTTATATCTAATATATATGCTTGTTTTAAATAAATTATAAGTTCTTTATTTTGTATGTGTTGTTTTGATATGACAGATTTAATCATAATGTTCAATAAAGTAAATAAGGATTTGAGTCATCGGTATAGTTTGCTGTTTCTACCGTATTGTCTAAAAATAAAACGTAACGTCGTAAGTAAACGATAAATCTAATATTAATACTTATAATAATAATAGTATTAAGGCTTATTAGAATTTATATGGCTTTTCATTGTAGAAAATTGCAATAATTTTTAAACGAATATAATTTAACACACACAAAGGAGTGAAGGGAATGTCTATATAAATAAGCTATGGAAAAATTCCCAAACGTGTAATTTCTTCTTGAGTCTTCTAAATTTCACATAAAACCATAAATTATTAGTTCACTTTAGTAATTTACTCACTCTACTTTGGTGTAAATTGTTGATACCATCTTTATCCAATGGTGTTTAATCTGCCTGTCGCTATTTTCAAGACTGTTTTGTATTAGTAATTATTCCCACCCTTTTATGACCTTACACTCCCAGCATATGATGTGAACAAGAGGCTTTTAATAATAAATCTTCAGACAGAAAAGGAAAACCACAAGAGAATCTTACCTTAGTTAACTGTATTCTTAAGGAATGAGGGTTTATTAGCAAATACAAAAATAAATAGGGATGAAAAGAAATTTTATTAAAAAAAACAACAACCCATAAGTGTGTTGTTTACACTTACACAAGTTACAGGCAAGACTCCCTGGATTTGTGGAGAAATGTAGGTTTGAACATTGTTTTGTTTGTGAATTACAGTTTACACTAAATAAGTATTACAAAATAGCAATTATAAAACATTACTGAAGCAAATAATTGCTGAAATAGGATTGGAATTATTATTTTTACTTAAATTTTGAAATTTGATATGCAAGTATGCAAACACCTGAAAGTAGCTCACTGGTTGTAATAGGCTAAATAATAATCTTTTGCTTTCTCACATTCCACTGTCTAATTAACTAGTATACCCCCCCTCTCCTCCCATGATGTGACATTTTTTTTAGCTAATATTTTTTGTGGTATCTTTTCAAATACATTTTAAAAACCTAAGTACACCAAATCAATTAACAGTCTTTCCCTCATCTAGATAAGTAAATTCGTTATAAAATGTAACAGATTAGAAAAGCAAAATTTCCCTCTGGTAAATCTATGTTTGCTTTCATATATAATGTAATATTTACAGAAATGTAGTTTTTTTTAAACTTGTTCAGAAATCCCAGTTTACTTTTAAGAATGTTTTTTTACTCAAGAAAATTATATCTGCCTCAAAGCTTCCTTCTTTAATATAAAAATCGTATATAATTTAATTGAGTAACTAGTTAAATGTTTTTAAAACATACTATAACCTGTTAACCAAAACTTTTAACTTTAGATTAGTATTGTGTTGGTTTTGATTAAAGCTTCCTGTATGGTAGTCTGTTCAGAAGCAGAACAGTATCTTGATTGACTAATATTTGTAATGCTTTGTTAACAATATGAAATTTGAATAAAAGCTTATCAGTTAAATTTTACATTTTTGTATTCATTATATAAGTTTTAAAAACATTCAATCAAGTTTAGATTTACCACATATTCAGTGAAAATTGGTTTTTAAACCAGTAACTTTTTGTTTTTTAAATTACTACACATTGAAGTTTTCACAATTATCACCTCTAACCTTATAAAGTGAGTACTTTATTATTGAAAAAAATTATTTAGTATTTTATAAATTTGAGGAAAATGCAATGGTTAAATTCATGTGATTTATTAGCATGTTTTGTGGTACTGCAGACCTGATGTATTATGTTGTCAAGAAATTAATGTCACATTTTGGAACACTTTCATTAACCACCCTCAAAAAAACTCGCATCGCGTGTAATAGTTAAACGAACTGTCTAAACGTCATAGTAGTGTAGTCTGTATAATGTGTAAAGTTTAGTGTACTCTAATCCCTTATAGTGATGGCACATGACGAGACACATATTCGGCATGTAATGC